AGCAGACACTTCATCTAATCAACTGTAACTTCTTCGTGTCTAAACTGTCTGCAGATCCATTCCGTGAAAAGAGGAGAGGAAGCAAGACCATTTTCAGCGGAGACCGACGCGCATCTTGAAAGTATCATTTGCCATTAATCCAGACACAGGGCTCCTGGAATCGTATAAGTATATGATGGCCGCAGTAGCTGAAAATTCATCCCTTTTTGATGCAGTGTTTTCCATCGTTTCGGTTAGTGTGCGTAATCCGTAGTTTTCTTCGGCTATGTAAAATGGGTATAAGTGAGATCGCATCAAATAGAGACTAAAGATCTGAAAAGCGTTGCTGCGACCGGGCGTGTGGCGTATAACATATTCTGAACCTTCTGCTCTACCATTCTTGCGGTTCTACTGACAGTTTAAGGCTGATTGTATGAGCAACGCTTCAGCTGTTTAACTCTGCTTTAATGTTTAGTAATAAAGCCGGAACGACTCAATGGAACCATCCGAAGATGGTCGAAATCATCAATTCTCTGTGCGATTTTAATGAAGTGAAATTCTCGGCATACCGAACAGCGATGAAACTCCGCTTTCTGCAAAAAAACCTTTGCCGTAAGTAGTGGCGGCTCGTCGCCTGACGCCTCGCTTGTGCGACACTGACTTTCTAGTGGACCTGTTATCGATGAGCGATGCGGTGTTCGTCTTCAAGCAGAAGAAGCTACAGAACGTCAGTGACAACCCGATGGACATCAGCGACATCATCATGACATTGCTGCCGATCTACGAACTGTTGCAGAAGCAGAACAGCAAACTAATCCGCTCCGTTCCGCTAGCCATCGACCTCTGTCTCAATTGGTTGCTCAACGTCTACGACCCGTAAGCCTATATTATTTAACTTTAATTGGCGTATTTTCAAGCGAATTCCCTGCCGCCGACGATTTCCATACTCTCTAGAACACGGGGAAAGTGTTTGTACACCCTCGATCGCTGTTTCGGCCGTATAAAGATCCTACTGATTTTTCCTCATTAGTTACATTTTACGCTAAGCTCAATCTATGGCAGCGTCTGTCTCAGCTAATATAAATTCTGTCATCTTCAAAACTTAATCTTGTTTGGGTGTCAACGGATGAGAAGAGCATTGTTTTAATACGATTGTTGGTAATATTATTTCTGTACTATCGTGCGGGCGGCTTTATCTGTCCGTGTTTTAGACGTCTGGAGGAGGTGAGCAACGGTGGAGTCGGCGAAGACTTTCGTTTCTCAGTGCTTTGTAGGTTCAGCGGCGCCAAGGCGGCGTAGCAATGCCCGCGAATGCGAGAAATCCAGCGTTTCCACCGTCTTCCACCATCGTCTCTGTAGCTCTGTATTCGAGGATTCGACGAGACCAGCCGCGGTCTCAGGAGATTTTCGGCGTTTGTGCTGCTTGTAAAGTTTTTCTGTCTCTTTCTACTAGCAAGGGGTGTTAAGTCTTCCGGTAACCACGAGAGATGTTGTTTGTCGCAGCAGAGATCAATATTGACCAAAAATGCCAAATGCTTGGGTTGTAAGTATGACCCGTTGAATACGGTCTTCGACTTCGGCAGTGTACGATGACCCGTTTGCTTTTCGAAAGTTCCAACAAGGTAGTCGAGCGGACTGAGTTAGCGGCACCTGCAAACCGACTCGAAGCACTACAGAGGGGTGCCGGCTTTTTGGAAAGAATCCGAGCACTGTCCTGGAAGCAGGAAGCGGAATGCCGCTACTATCTTTGGAGACCACATTAGTCTCCATCTTGCTGATCTGAAAGTAACTTGCTGTTTGGCATCGTGACACAAGTGTACACCAGCTGCTGATGCCATGTCGGTTAGTTGTTCACCTGCCGCATTGTTCACGATGTAACCCCATGAAATGTGGTGGCTGTTAAAGTCGCCCGCATAAACAGTTGTTAGAGGCATCGTTGGTAATGGTGGTGTTGGCCAGTTGCTTCCGGGGCGCTTATATGTGTTCATTATAGCGGTTTCTCTAACGGCAACTGTAGTGAATTCGAGACTATTTAGTTCGTCTGTGTGTTCGCCGATGTGGTTTTCGCTGCTGTTTATCACCACGACATCTTTAAGGTCTAATCCAGCATATGCTGCTAGACCGTATTTGAGTCACAGGTATTAGCGACCATACTTAACCCAGCAATTTTGTATCCGGCTGCTTTGCAATCATCTTCGATGTGCATCTCTTGCAGAATGGCGATATCATTCTTGTTTCTTAACGTC